ATTTCAATTAGGATAAGCTAGTAAAAGCCTACAATTAGCTCTTCATTTTTTCACTGAAGTAGATGGTTTTACTCCCATATAGGAAGCGTATATATCGGTATCAGATTCGGACAACCGCATTACAACACATTACTTAACAATTAGTATTAACTTGATCATCCCTATTAACTGGCATGCCATATATGTTCGTTTTCAGAAATATATTATCATTACTATTATTAACAGAGTTATAAAAACTGAATATATAATAATGTCATTTAGCTCAAGTACTTGTATATGAATATATACATGACTAATGATTTGTATCAATAACAAGCATAAATATTAAAATCTAAGAAATAAAACAATAAATAATATGTGGATTACAAAACATAATTCCATATAAATTAATTGAATTTAGCAGAATGTGCAGTAAATAATAAGACTTATTTAAAAAAAACCCTTATAGCATACTAAACATAGGTACGTAACATTCATAGTCATTGATGCAATATAGTCTTATTATCAACCCGATGGTTGTTAAACCAACTTGATTATCTTTATCGTTCATGTTGGCCATATCTGACTTCAGTAATGAACAACTAGATTTTGGAAAAAAAGCTTTCTTTCTTCATGAGAAACGAAATTCTAAATTAATAACAGTTTCATTTACAAACAACTGACACATCTGTGCATCGGCCCAACTTGCCATAGCAAATCACAAAAGTATTAGCAGCATTGAGAGTAATCAAGACTAAGCATAAAATATATGATTTGATTTAGTTTATCAAATCACTTTTGAGAGTACTTCGTTGACGCGTTTATAAATTTTGAAGCACAAGTTTAGAAATATAGTTTATGCCTTTATGCACCTCATTTGGAAAGAGTCTTGTCTATATATAGAGTAAAGGAAAACAAAGAATGACTGCAACTATGCAATGTCACTCAACTACTTCGAACAGTTGTTACAAGTATTGTACTGACAGTCATTGACCTCATAGATTGATACCACGCCATGACTTGTCCAACTTTAGCTTTTATTATAACCCAACTCTTGTTTCATCTAACAGTGCACGTTATGATAGGCCGTGGTTAGGCATGCGAAACACATGTATTTTCCACCTCAATTGATGAAAATTGATAGCAGCATCAATGAACATGCTGATAAATAAGTACATTAGAAAACATGTTGGTAATGTCCTCTCTTTAGTAGTATGAATGTAAAGTGGAAACGATGTTTCTATGTGTTTATAAAGAGAAGAGGATATATTGGGTAAAAACATAAAGAGGCATGTGTAGGTTATCGTAAAATGATACTTCAGATAAATAATTAACATTGTATAGCTATTTAGATGTTTGATATTCAAGTGAAATGAAGGTCTAGTTAAAGATCAGTTGAATGAATTCAAATGAATCAACTAAATAATATTTCCTTATTTTATTTGATAGGATTAATTATAATCACAGATCAACTATTTCTAACCTCTAGTATGGAATGTTTAAAGAAACAGAGTATCATATATTCTCTAACAGTCTTACATTATATATTTTTAATGAATGGACTTTCGTTCGGACACCTTCACGAGATACTAATTTTATTTTCCGATTGAATTGACAGTTTTCAGTCCTTACTTTATAAATTAAAGGCCTGTTCAACTTATTTATGTTTGGACAATTGAGTAATATTACTATTCAAATACACGTATACACACACAAACAATGCAGTTCAAACTGAGTACAGAAATCTACTATTTGGCAAATAACTGACATTGTGTTAAAATCAATTGTAACTCTATTTTACAGCCAAGAGAGAAAACAACAAATTAATCACAAAAGCAATCACAATAATCTGTCTTTAAAATGAAGAAAAATGTTTATGAAAATGTACGTATGTGTACATGTGTAAGAAGAGCTGAAATCCGTCCAGTAAAGAAGATAAAATGTGAAATAAGATAAATTAGTATTTATAAGCAGTTTTCTGGATAAACAATAATAATAATAACAGTAAAACAAAACAAAACATTCCTCTGTGGAAAATCATCAAGAGAAATAAAAGCAATAAAATATCACCAAATAATTTAGAAATAAAATAATAATAATAGTAATAATAAACAATTAGAGATTATAAAAAAATAACAGAATGGATAATTTCTCCCGAAGGAAATAAGTAAATCAAATAATATGTATCCCTATAAAGATGTATATACGAAGTAGAGTAAATTTTAAATCAGAGTCAATAATCAATGCGCCTAGCCTACACAGTGACAACAATAAATTCAAAGGTGATAATAATATAATCTGTCATGAAAAGAAAATATACTGATGATCATTAATTATGGGTTTTTCCTTTTATAATTTGTAAATATGAATGTTATTCAACTAACAAGTGTCTGAAATGTATCCCAACAATGGACTTTCTTTGCATTCTTTCACAATTTCCTCTAATGGATAAAACAATTGTTTGTTGAAACATTCTGTGCATACACGTGTCTAAACTTGTGACTTCTTGATAAAAGACCAAATTTTTTAACCACAAAACCATTGGGAACAGTTCATACTGTTTATAGCTATATATAATCAAGAAGTAACGAGTTTAGAGCTCACATTTCATTTGCTTAAGTTTAAACACCTTGCCTTTGTTATAGATTTTGATTCAACGAATAATCCACAGTTCAGTGATTGTTACAGTGGATTAATAGAATGCTGATCACAAAGATGAACGCAAAGATATGAAGCAACCAAGTGATAACTACCCATCAAACCCCATTACTTATTCAACTCCTTGAATGAACTTATATTAAGGACAGAATCATTAGCCAATATACCAGGGTTTTTCATCAGTAAAATTCTATACTTATATATAAAAATAATAAACGTAAAATAAATATGATTAAACATGAATGAGATTTAAACGACTGGAAGGTAGTTTCGTAAGTGCCAATTGAATTAAAACGTAAATGTCAGGTTTAATTTTCATCTACAATATCAGTTAATTTCACTAAAGTAATTCATTGTGTAACTCGTCTGCTAAGTGCATAATTATCTATTCAACTATGAAACACACTAGATGTGTAATAGCTAATCATACTAATAGATACATTAAATCGAAGTAGAAAGATAAGAACTGAACTATAATGAGCATTCTAACCGCTAAGTCACTACTCATTGGTCATTATCATTACACTGAAATATAAACAATTAAGACAAGAAATACTACGGAAAATCAAAAAAGGTAACAGTAACGGGTAAATAAAGCAATCAACAAGACAGATTTCCATTCATCACTACTTTAAGCCATATTTAAATTTGTTCTGATTTTCTTCAGGAGTTGAATTATTATTGAAGGGCATAAATATATAGGTAGATATTATCGAAACAATGAGCACAATATAAAAATGCCAATTAATTGATGAGCATGTCAGTCTAAACAGTGAACAAATACGGTAATGTAACAGTTCAAAATAGACATTTAATATTAATAGAAAGGAAAAAAGTAAGATATATATGATAAAAGCAAACCAAATAAAAAGATGAAAATAAATAAACAAATAAGGACAGTAACAGATTTCTTTATTTCTAGGTTTAGGAAAATAATACGATAAATAATTTAATACTTAGAACATATTCTTAGTAAAAAGAAGCACATTTGAATATGCAATTTACATCCAACAAACTGTTCAATAGCCAAAGTGACTGCTTAACTATAGGATACACCTTTACTTTATTACTACCTAATTTTTTTACAAACTACGCATGTAGCTCTTCTAGGGTTACTGCTGGCTCCAAGTTCGGATTGAGGAGGAGGGTTAGGCATGGCGTCGGCAACCTTATTGCATGTAAACCAACATTACTAAAACAACGCTAACCAGAATAAATATTTCAAACCATTTAAACTTTATCCTGAGAGTTAGGTCTTCATTGAGAAGAACTATGATGCCTCATGATTCTTCGAAAGCCACGAGGCCGACGCCCCTTCTAACAACCAGAGCAACAATTTTTATAGGTACATGGAATGCTCTGACAATGTGGGAGACCGGGAAGATCAGTCAAATAGCAACAGAAATGAGGAGATACAAGAACATGCTCCACACACTCGGGGAGTTACTCTGATGCTGTACAAAGAAGCACGTAGTGCACTCATAGGATGAGAATCTCATGGATCCAGGATCATCAAAGCAGCTTTCAAAACAAAGAATGAGAAAATCACAATGAATGTTATCCAGTGTTATGCACCCACCCATGATAGCAATGACGACGATAAAGACCAGTTTTATGAGAGGCTGTAATCGATCATAGCGAAGTGCTCTGGAAAGGACCTGACCATTCTGATGGGAGATCTAAACGTCAGTCAGAGTAGACAACACCGGATATGAAGACATCATGGGATGACATGGACTTGGAGAAAGGAACGAGAATGTCGAGAGATTAGCAAATTCATATGCTTTCAACAAAATTGTTATTGGCGGTATGATATTCCCCCTCGAACGTATACACAAAGCTACATGGATCTCACCGGACCACATCACAGAGAACCAGATAGATCATATATGCATCAACAAAACGTTCTGAAGGGCAATAGAAGATGTGAGAACCAGGAGAGGAGCTGATATAGTCTCAGATCACTACCTAGTTGTGGCCAATTTAAAACTGAAGCTAAGGAAGAACTGGAAAATTGGACAAACAGCATTAGAAAGGTTCAATACAGTCTTCCTTCGAAATACTGACGAACTCAATGAATTCAATATAGCTCTCAACAGCATGTTCCAAGCCTTACAAGATCTACTGAAGGAAGAAGAAACCACTATAGAGGATAAGTGGAAAGGTATCAAAGAAGCATTAACTTCAACGTGTCAGGAGGGTCTGGGCCTCAAGAAGCATCACCATAAGGAATGGATCTCTATGGAAACCTTGGACGATATCCAAGAAATGAAGAACAAGAAGACAGCAATTAACAACGATCGAACAAGAACAGAGATAGTCAAGTCACAAGCTGAACATACACAAGCAAACAAGTGAAGAAGAGCACTAAAGCCGACAAGCAGAAGTACGTGGAAGGATTAGCAACGACGGCGGAACAAGCTGAAAGAGAAGGAGATATGAAACAATGAAGAAACTAGCAATGAAATATAGTAAACCAGAGAGACCGGTCAAGGACAAAGAAGGTAGGCCAACCACTGAAATTCAAGAACAGAGGAACAGATGTGCAGAATACTTCGAGGAACTGTTGAATAGAACAGCTCCATTGAATCCACCGGACATCAAAGCAGCGCACACAGATATTCCTATAGATGTTAATCCACCAACGACGGAAGAAATCAGAATAGCCATCAGACAAATCAAGAGCGGGAAAGCAGCAGGACCCAACAACATACCAGCTGAAGCACTGAAATCAGACATCGAAGCAACCACAAGCTGGATTCCGTAAGCATCGGTCGTGCACAGACCGAATTGCGACACCACGGATCATCGTCGAACAATCAGTTGAGTGGGACTCGTCACTATACATCAACTTCACTGATTATGAAAAGGTATTTGACAGTGTAGATAGGAGAACGTTATGGAAACTTCTTCGACACTATGGAGCTCCTGAGATGATTGTCAACATTATCCGGAACTCATACGACAGAATACAGTGCAAATTAGTGCATGGAGGACAGCTGACAGATGCATTCCAAATAAGGACAGGAGTCAAACAAGGCTGTCTACTCTCCCCCTTTCTCTTTCTTTTGGTGGTCGACTGGATTATGAAGACCTCGACATCTGAGGGAAAACACGAGATACAATGGACAGCTCAGAATCAATTAGACGATTTGGACTTCGCAGATGACCTAGCTCTCCTATCCCATACACACAAACGAATATAGATAAAGACAGCCAGTGTAGCAGCAGTCTCTGCATCAGTAGGCCTCAGTATACACAAACGGAAAACCAAGGTCCTCAAATTCAAAGCGGAGAACAGTAATCCAATCACTCTTGATGGCGAAAATCTGGAAGATGTAGAATCCTTCACATACCTGGGAAGCATAATCGATGAACAAGGAGGCTCAGATGCAGATGTAAAGGCGAGGATCGGCAAAGCAAGGACAGCATTCCTACAATTGAAGAACATATGGAACTCAAAACAACTTTCAACCAATATCAAAGTGAGAATCTTCAATACGAACGTCAAGGCAGTTCTACTGTATGGAGCTGAAACTTGGAGAACTACAACAACCACAATCAAGAAAGTACAAGTATTTATAAATAGCTGTTTACGCAAGATACTCAAGATCCATTGGCCGGATACCATCAGCAATAGCCTTCTGTGGGAGAGAACGAACCAACTTCCAGCTGAAGAAGAAATTAGGAAAAGACGATGGAAATGGATAGGACATACATCACGTAAATCATCAAACCGCATCACGAGGCAAGCCCTAACTTGGAACCCTGAAGGGAAGCGGAAAAAAGGAAGGCCAAAGAACACATTACGTCGAGAAATCGAAGCAGATATGAAAAGGATGAATAACAACTGGAAGGAGCCGGAAAGGATTGCCCAGGACAGGATTGGATGGAGAATGCTGGTGAGCCGCCTATGGACCTACACGAAGAGTGACAGGCGTAAGTAAGTAAGTAATTTTTACACAATCAGTTTACAATACAATCATTTAAATACAACCGATGACAACTTTCATCTGTATATATGGATGATATGTATATAGATGATACTGTTAGTATTTATGATAAGATACATGATTTGAATAATATTCTACAATAATATTAACGAAAATTAAGATTTATTCTTCGAGTGGAAAACAATCAATATGCACTTTGTCAATGTTCCAATATTAAGAAAATCTGATGGCACTCAAAACACCAAAAGTAACAATAAATTATCTCAAAGATTTTATACATGAACATCATTTCTAGAGGCGAAAAGGCTGCAAACATCTTAAAAAAAGCGATTTCGAATACCCTTAAAGAAACTCTCTTTTCAACTCGACCTAAGGATAAGCTATTACACTGTGCGTTTATAAATTTATCCACTCCTGTGACGTTAAGCATATGGAACGTTTGATATGCACTTTAATAGAAATAGTTCGAAAACACTATCTCGCATAGTTAAAAATAGCCAGTAATGAATCCATAAAAAGTTCAATAACTGAACATTTTGCAAATAAAGTTCATCCAATCAAAATAGAGTAAGCATTCATGGTCATTTACAAGGTAGGTGGAAATCTGTTAAAGGTAATCGTGTCTGGTCAACTTACCATTCCTAAAACTTTTTCTTAGATTTAGAGAAACCAGTGCTAAATACAAAAGAAACTAATTCAATCTCTTCTTCAACCATGATCAAAACTTCCAATTTTTTGGAAGCTATCACTATCTCCCTCTTTGCTACCAAACTGATTCTTTTACACCCAACTGGCATGATCTCAGTTTCTGTAACTGTACTATATTGCTGTGTCGACATTCATCTGTATCATATTATGCAATCTATTTCCACAAATTTTAATCATCACTTAACTGCCATGATATTCTTGATGAACATTCAAGATCTCAACAACTAGACCCTAAGTCTCTAAAATAAAAATAAATATTCATATATTCTGTTCCTTTGTTGCTACGTTGAATAGATCGTCGTTATCATCAAGGAACATGTTATTAATTATCAGTGTGACATATGTATATATTCACAAATCCACAGGTTTGAGAAGAGACTCGCTATTTCATGTCTAAATGGATGCACTCCACTTATGTACAAATTAACGAACCGATCGGCAATCGTATTTTATGAATTTATAGTGTTATAATATGCCATGATTCTCTAAGGTTATTCGCTCCTTCCAAATTATATTTCTCGTATTTAGTCGTTCATCACTTTTCTTAATAACACCTCCCTTGTTATTCAGGCCAATGCACTTTGTTCCAGGTCATGCACCATTTAGAATTGCATTTAACCAATCTGTAAAAAGCATCGACATCCATTTCAAATCATTTCACTCCATGTTGTCTTAGATTATCCTTCATTCCTTGCTATGCCTCTACACAATTTTATTTCCTTATTTATGAGCCTTATATTTTTTATGGTGCCTATTTGTACTAATATCTGTCTTTTCAATAAATAATTGTTGAAAATGTAACCGGTTATCTCAAAAGTTATATATGAATGTATGATCAAGAACAGATTGACTACCTCTGGATTGTAGTTAATACCTATGACTGTAATTCAGGCACCAAACACTTCAATCTACTTTATCCATCCACAATGGCAACGACTTTTAATTCAAGTATAAAAATTAATTATAAACGGAATAGAAATTACCTCTCAAATAAGAACCAAATGATTGTTTCGGAAATCATTTTTCTGATCGCAAACGGCATAGTTATCCAAATTACGGACACTGGTTTCAAAAGTAGAAATTTTAAAACTTGTCCCATCATGGTATGACGTAGACAATAGCATAATAAAAAACCACTAGAAAAGCTAAGATATAATATGATATTTGTTAAATAATCCATGTAAAAGACGATATCAGGTAAGCTCAACTAACAGCAGAAATTTTCAAATTTTCGAAATTGATATATATCTAAAATAAGAATCATGAGATAAGAAATTAATTATTTAAAAGGAAAATTGAGAAGGAAATAGACTAACGTTGTTCCTAAAAACACACATTAATAATTTAACTTTAATTTCGGGAAAATTGTATTTAGATAAAATTAAGTATAAAAATTCCAGTGCACATGCAATAGGTTGGAGGTGGAACCCACAAGAAAAAATATGATTATATCTCAGATGGTACTTATTAACAAATAAGCAGACAAAGAATATTTTAAGGTTTACTGAGTTACAGATGTTACTCCTCGTGAAAGGGCATATGATGATCACTAGCATTCTCTATCCAACACCGTCCTGGGCAATCCTTTCCCGTTGCTATTCATCCTTTTCATGTCTACTTCCAATTTCCTACACAGTGTGTTATTTAACTTTCCATATTTCTTATTTCTCCTCAGGATTCCAAGCCAGGGCTTGCCTCATAATGTAGTTTGGTGATTTCCGTGTCAGTTTCTTCGTTGTCATATAGTTGTCACGTGTTTCCATCGCTAGCAACTTTTACCGCTGTCGCCGGTAGGTCTTCATGGACTTCTGATTTTCCACCCCAATGCTCCTCTGCAATCTCTAGTTTGCTTGTGTATGTTCAGCTTGTGACTTGACTATCTCTGTTCTTGTTCGATCGTTGTTAATTGCTGTCTTCTTGTTCTTCATTTCTTGGATATCGTCCAAGGTTTCCATAGAGATCCATTCCTTATGGTGATGCTTCTTGAGGCCCAGACCCTCCTGACACGTTGAAGTTAATGCTTCTTTGATACCTTTCCACTTATCCTCTATAGTGGTTTCTTCTTCCTTCAGTAGATCTTGTAAGGCTTGGAACATGCTGTTGAGAGCTATATTGAATTCATTGAGTTCGTCAGTATTTCGAAGGAAGACTGTATTGAACCTTTCTAATGCTGTTTGTCCAATTTTCCAGTTCTTCCTTAGCTTCAGTTTTAAATTGGCCACAACTAGGTAGTGATCTGAGACTATATCAGCTCCTCTCCTGGTTCTCACATCTTCTATTGCCCTTCAGAACGTTTTGTTGATGCATATATGATCTATCTGGTTCTCTGTGATGTGGTCCGGTGAGATCCATGTAGCTTTGTGTATACGTTCGAGGGGGAATATCATACCGCCAATAACAATTTTGTTGAAAGCATATGAATTTGCTCATCTCTCGACATTCTCGTTCCTTTCTCCAAGTCCATGTCATCCCATGATGTCTTCATATCCGGTGTTGTCTACTCTGACTGACGTTTAGATCTCCCATCAGAATGGTCAGGTCCTTTCCAGAGCACTTCGCTATGATCGATTACAGCCTCTCATAAAACTGGTCTTTATCGTCGTCATTGCTATCATGGGTGGGTGCATAACACTGGATAACATTCATTGTGATTTTCTCATTCTTTGTTTTGAAAGCTGCTTTGATGATCCTGGATCCATGAGATTCTCATCCTATGAGTGCACTACGTGCTTCTTTGTACAGCATCAGAGTAACTCCCCGAGTGTGTGGAGCATGTTCTTGTATCTCCTCATTTCTGTTGCTATTTGACTGATCTTCCCGGTCTCCCACATTGTCAGAGCATTCCATGTACCTATAAAAATTGTTGCTCTGGTTGTTAGAAGGGGCGTCGGCCTCGTGGCTTTCGAAGAATCATGAGGCATCATAGTTCTTCTCAATGAAGACCTAACTCTCAGGATAAAGTTTAAATGGTTTGAAATATTTATTCTGGTTAGCGTTGTTTTAGTAATGTTGGTTTACATGCAATAAGGTTGCCGACGCCATGCCTAACCCTCCTCCTCAATCCGGACTTGGAGCCAGCAGTAACCCTAGAAGAGCTACAGGCGAAGTTATTTTAAGATTTAACACAAACGTAATGTGAGCAGATTAAAACGCAAAATGAACAGACAGCTATATAATAAAAAAATATGAAACCCAAAATAACTGAATAGCAGCTTACAATAAATTCATATGAAGATTATATGTTCAGATGTTGCCACTAACAAAACGAGGAATACAGCACATAACATTTTTTTTTGTAGATCGAGTTGATGGGCCATGTCTCTCAGTGGAATGTATACCCGAAAGTAAGTCTTATAATCACCAATTCAAATACTCGCCATTGTTTAATCAAGCAGTATACAATAAAATCATTCGGAAAATACTTCATGTATACGAACAAAGTACATATTTATTTAAATACAACACAACAGATGGTAAGTAACGTAAACATACACATTAAAAGAATTTAAGTCACTTCAAAATCAGTTTATGACAATTTAACTCAATTCTATTGAGCTTTATATACATTACAATAGAATAATACAATGTAGTGAATCATTTGGAGAAGTAATAATATATTATTTCCATGTATTTTAGCTATTCAGAACGACATAATATTAGGAAGATTGTTCTTACTGTTGCGAAAATTAAAAACCCACATGGTATGTATAGGTGGTAAGCATCTTAATTCTGCTTTTTTTTACGATTCTCATAAGAATTGGGAAAAATCAATTCGAAATTCAATGACAAGTTAATAAGAAATGAATCGGTTATATCTTCCAAACAATGATAGGTTTTATTCACTATTATATTGGTTAAAGCGTAAACACGTGAAATTTTAAATGAAACATTGCAAAACAGAAGGGAATTTGTTATCTTCGTCTGCTCAAAAACAACACGCCTAATTAGTAACAAAAGATCAGTAAATAGAATGGATAGATATGATAAACAATATGAGGTTTAATAACAAAAGTCAGACAACTCACTCAAACGTGTTGATTAACTGTCACTTTCCGTACTTCAAATTTTATCATAAACAAATTGTCTTATCTTGCAGATAATGTCAAAGTAGTCAGTAATTTCATAACTAACTTAATGGCAGATATATCTTAAATTAGCAATGTAACTTAATGGTTTAGTACTGTTGCTCGTAACAAGCAATCGGAAGCCTGTGACAAAAAACTTGTTAGTACTAGTTAGCAAGATGTTCTTGCAATCGTGACAGGAAGAAATGATGTCCTCTGCATGATTCGAACAAGTGGCATGCAATGAGCTAATTAGAGATATTACCGCTGAACTATCCAAGTTCCAAATTATTTATTGGTTTAGAAACGAGAGCAGTAAACAAGCCGTCACAATCAATAGCACTTTACAAACAATTCATTTCAATAACCTATAAAAGATTGTGTAGAAATCTTAGCTGTATAATGTTGTACTAAAAAAATTGAGTATTGCACATAACACTATACAGAACATTTCGAAACTACAATGTTTAATTTGAATTTAGAATTTTCTTACTGAACTGGAAAACAACTAATGTTACAGATCCTTCGATGCACGAAAAAACCAACATTCACTCTTCCTGTTTGTTTCTCGTCGATTCTCACCATGATATTGAATTGACTCGTTGAAATTGTTGGCATAGATCCGAAACAATACGTCATTCAGCTTTCAACTCATCCTACTAATTTCCATTTAATTAATTTTATAATTTTCAAAAATAACGCACATGTGAGGACATATTCAACAGTATTAAACACTAATGATAACTGGTTTTATTATTTGCCTCACAAAAATCATTAAATCGGTATGATGAGAGCCTAAATATCCGTTCATCAAAGACAAATTCACGTACCTCGGTAATTGAAAAATTCAGATACAAATAAATGGTAACTACAGTCATGTTTATTGGTAACTAGTTTCATGATACTGCACAGTAACCCTAAAGAACAACTATGTACGGTAATGAGGAACTTACTACTGAAGCCACTTTAGATGACGAATGTTCAATATCACGAATTGATAAGAGTCGGAAATGTGGTTCATTGCATCTAAGATACTGTTTGGAGGTAGTTGACAGGAAACACTGGACCTAGTTTCCATGTTTGGCACTTGTCAATAAAGTGTCTGTAACATTAGAGAAACTGATACTTTCTATCGCATGTTGATCTCCTGTTATATCTCAACGTAATGTTCGCGATGTTCAGTCGCTTAGACTGGTATCGAACTTGATCGATGAAATTCGACCAGCACTAAGGACTTGATTTACATAACATTAATTAGCATTCAATGACCAGCCTATTATAAACCAGTCCACCTAAATTCTAGATTGAGATCATGAACCGATTGATTTTAGACCATCATTGAAAACCTGGAAGCACTGTACGGCCGTTTCGTCCTGTTGTGGGACCTCTCAGCATGAATTATCATGATCTGAATCAAAATCCTAATAATCTCCACAGTCCCATGCTGATAACCACCTAAATTTACCGTGTCTGACTGCAGCCAAGTTAATACAGGAGCACTGCCAATGATTTCCCTTCAACTAGGATGTAACAGTTATGCAGTACTTTCTAGTTTTCAACAGTTTCGAAATCGACAATAAGAAGTAACGTCTAGTATTTTGCGCTTTTGTTTAGAAACTAAGAATCACATCCGTATGTGCCAAAATATATTACACTTACGAAAAAACAATCAGTAAAAAAATACGTTGACTGTTTCTACGCTAGTCTCTCACTATCACCAAGGTAGGAGTGGATGAAAAAAATCAATTGAAAAGCCTAGCAAACCTCTGATTGACAAACACTAAGTAACATATTTACAACACACTTTAAAAATATGGTCAGTTTTATAAGCATAAACTGTTAATTCGTTTGTTTTACAGAGCGGTAATCAACTATAAAACATCAACTATAGGAGTTCATTGCTACTACCACATTTAGAATTATTAAATCAAAATAAAATATCGTGAAACTTTTTTGTTTTTAGCACAAAACATGTGATTTTGCTGACACACATGGTTATATAAACTACCCCCGAGGTTATCTGTAAACAAATACCCGTGTCTTCATAACTTCATTGAAACAACTGATAACCCAAAATAAAGTTATTTGGTTTTACATACAAACGAATAACTTAAATTCATACACATGTACTATTACGTACAGACTCGGGTACCTCGTTATAAACGACATTTTAGGTGTTGGGGCTCAAACTAAGCAGAAGCGTGAGTCGGACATGTAGCTTAAGGTACATTCGTCAATTGATTCACAAATGCGACAGAGAAACTATCGATCAATCCTTACTGAAATAAATCTGGAATTAATTATATATGTAATAATTCAATCATCCTTATTTCGAAGTTCAAAGCTATCAAAATGGAACTCTTACTTAGGTAAAAATATTTTATTGTTTACTAGACCTGAAAGAACCCCAAACTAGATGCACTCCATGCATAAATAATTTTAAAAACAATAAGAACACCGTATACTTCATCATCACAAATTCATTTTTAAAAAATAATAAAATAACGATAAGGGTATAATACTCTAACAAGTAGAAAACTAAATTGTTGAAGCTTCGCAAATTAGTGTAGATCGCCTCTTCAACGGATAAATATCCGAATCTAATGGATACGACTTTAAGTAGATTACACTTAAGTATTACATTTTTCACACGAGCATATACAAATAACACTCACATAATATTTAGTCATCTATTCGCTGAAGAAACGATATACACAAAGTCGCTACACCTTTATTTTATCATTATAAACAATCTATTTAGTGCTGAATAGATATGGAATTATCAGGTTAAATATTTATATTCATATTCATTGTGTGAAAAAATTACACATGCGGTTTATAAAATCAAAAAATAAAGATTTCTTTTGTTCACATTTTTATTTCGAATACAATGATCAAAAAAAGATAAACATTAGTTTCGGCAAAAACAAAAGTGAAAGGAAACTTATAATTCAAAGCCAATTATAATATTTAATCCTGACGAGTTAAGAAATAATTCGGATAGAAACGTAAACCAGCCTCGCTATCATCACGACAAATGAGACCGACTTCTTCAACTGCCAACAATCTTGCCTTAGCCAAAAAAGGAGAGAGGTTCACTATATGAGCAAGTTCATCTACTGACAAACTAATGCGTTTTTCCACTAATTCTACAGTAGATTTCAATGTTTCCATTTCGTCTTCAGACGCCAGCTGAAGAACCTAAAAATAAACAAATGTAGTTGGTAATCAAAAAACAATTTATGTTTATTAGTAAAATGCATAAAATAAACATTTTAGATCTTAAGTGTAAAAAAATTCTATTGGAAATATAAAATAAATTGATATAGTTTGACTATACAGTGAATAACATTCGTACTTGATTATTTAACACTGAACAAAACTTCTTATTTTCTTTTCGGCTTTAGCTAGTCAGAAAAAAAGATAACTTGCTCAGTAAATTATTGATCGAGGAGATCAATGTAGATTAAATCAAACAAATAGTTCTTACACAAACACAAACACAGTTACAGTGCCATTGGGTGGAAAGCGTCTTCAGCTGCATTAAACATGAATAAACTACGTGCACAGAAGATTGGCAGGAAAAGTCAAAATCACATTTCAGAAAAAGAGCAAAATAACAAACAGGAAAGGTCATTTTAGACTTGACAACAGAAATTAAATACAACTTCAGACAGTCATATATCTTGATTGGTTGGATGTAGTCGACTGGAAACCGAAGTCGATCTAAATTTTGCGCAAGTCAACACTCATCAGCAACGTATACTTATAATTTTGAGATAAATGGTGTCCTTTTCGGGGGATCCAAACTGGCGTCACACATCCCCATAGTCTGAGACCACCACTAGGCGCGAATGACCTCTTGAGGACCAAGATATTTACAGTGGATTGACCACTTATTACTGGCTAGTGTCATATTTACCTATATTTTCTATAAATCATGATATTTCGCATGTCAAGAAAAATCAATAGACCAATAAGACGAAGAAAATTAAGAAATTTTTAAAGTATAAGAATAGCACTAAATAGAAAATAAAAACAAATTATTAAGGAAAGTTAAAAACAAAATAAAGGTTCACAATATATTGAAAATCGTTTCCATGAAGGTTGATCTTAAGGGTGATACAGGTGTTAACATCTTTAGCAGGAAAATTTCAAAACTACTCCAAAAACCTTTGGTATCAACTTTGAGATTAGTAATACTCAGTCGACCTATATTGGTCGATAACCGAAAGAATAATTTCTTGCATCTGATCTCTTCAATTTGAACGTTTCTGTAGTACTAGGTGTATCATTCAGTAGATGCATGTTCTACTAAAGAGACAAAGAACGCCGTCCTGTATGTTTGAATAGAAGTAACAGTGGCTTTATAAGCCTAGAAGTAAAAACACTGTGACATGTTATTTTATTTAAACATCTGTCATCTATAACCATCTAAAAAGCGAATAGAAAACCGTAAAAACCAGTGTGTTTTCGTCTTATTAACATTGCAGAAATATCTGTCTGAACAATACTTACAAAAGAAACTTGTTCATACTTTTGCCATAAGTAAGTTAACTGAGTCTGAATACTGATATAGCCTTTGACTGTAACCTTAATCTAATAATATTAATCCCCCCGACCCTGTGACCAGATATCCAAAACATTTATCAGCGTACGCAAACTTTCTCTGTCGCCAAACCTCAATTAGAATGACGAAGTAAGACAGTCGATGTAAACTCTATACATGACTTGGAAAATCACATTATATACAACATTTACAGTAAAACAGCACACAACAAACAAGAGATTACAATATATGCCCCAAGTAGAACATTTACGGTACAAAGACTAAATTACAGGTTCATCATTAATTTACAATAACTCAAGTACAGAAAACGTCATAACAATAGTGCCAATTAGTCAAATGAAAGCTTACAATTAGTTCAATAAAAAAGCTATTAATCTAAGTGTCCAACAAAAACATGTTAAGAATATAAGTACTCATCGCTTGAAAATTAGCTTTCGAAGTTTGCAATGTTCATTTATTTGTCTCGTCCGCAAAAATACATGACCAAACATTTAGTGCGCAACCAACCGTTCTGCTATTTTTGAAGACATTATGCGATCATCTAAATCTGAGGACGGAACGAAGACTCAGCGACACAATGACCAGATAAGCTAACTATTCCGATGCGTCACAGCCTACTAACTAGAGGGAGAAGTCCAGGTTCAGAAGAGAGAAGGTGTATTCCACAAGCAGTCAGAAAAACGAACAATAACAACAAGCACAACTCAAGCGTATATATAAAGCATACAAATGTCGTTGGAAAACGTCACAAAATAGCATATTAAAACCGACAACGAACAAATAACATTCAAGGTCTTTCCAAGTGGGAAATACGATATGAAGGTGAAAATGGGTGCTTTCGGTGCGAAAACAAGAAATTCAAATCAATAAAATTACAAAAATAAACGTTTACCAAGTGAGTTCTGGGGATCTAGCATCCTCAACACGTTCCATGGTAAAATTGTGTGGAACTAGTAGACGAAAAGTAATTTATCGGGATAAAAAGTGCAAAACATTCTTCAGCTTACATAAAAGCATTGTATTAAATTTATTTAACGGTATTACTATCGAATTATGAAGATCTAGGAATTGTTTCACAAGAACTAAACCACTTGTTACATGAAATTACTTACTGGATAACAAAATCCCACAGCAGGAATATTCCATTCGAACGAAACAAAAGTAATTTTAAAAATTTACACAAGCTGAATAATAATAATAATTACACTAACAGACAAAATACACCTACTAGAAGTCCATTTGCATAGCCCTTCAACCTTATAGGTAGTTTTTCTTTATCTAAATAACGACAGGCTCTAAGTAAATCTTCCGGAGATATTAGATCCATACCTCGTGCACGATTAACTCGACAATAAGCTGTTGCTAAATCAATACAACTAGTATGTAAGCGATCAGTTGAATGATTGGAACATTGACCTTTTAGTAATGGAAACAGTATACTCGATACCTGATGAGCTAATCGAATATAGAAAGTCGTACCGCTGAGTGATGATGAGGATCGTCTGTCATCGCCACCACTTACGACTTCTACAACTCCCATTGACAGCATGGCCGAACGTAGTTCAGCGATTTCATTAGCTGATAGATCACTACCCTGAAGAAAAAGATTGAGACAGACAATTAATTGATTAACAAGAAGAAAAATTATTGAAAACCATACGTTAGAAAATAATCTGTTTCACTGTCAGTCAACATTGAAATAAATGAATGAGTAAGGAGACCAACTATATCTTATAAAACTCAAAAAACACTGCTTACGTACGACTGATAACTTGAAATAGGAAAGTACTCCTTAGATTACAAACTAACTACGACATAATTATAATTTCTTTAAAAAATTTGTTTTATATCAAAACTCAGTACTAAATATCAAACAAAACAATGAGAAAAGATGAATCCTCACGAATAATAATGGAAAGAACTAAATATTTTGTTCGCACTTTAAAAACAAAAACACACCTACTTTTGTATCGCGAACTTTTTTAGCCAACAGACGACTTAATTTAACCATTTCACTTGCGTTGTTCATAAGTTGATTCAAATCTTCAAAAGCCTCGGTAATATTACGATCAGTTTCAACAGCACGTGCAGCTTGTTGTCTTTGAATTGCCCCAATACCTCCAGTACCAAACGACTTAGATGTCAATTTAAAATCTGAATGATAAGACAATGTCCACAGTTTTACCTAGATTTATAACGAAAAATTCCATTTGTTATTAAAATAGATTTTTTAAAAATATTCCATAAATGTTGAGAAAACGTCTGACTTCATAGTCAAGATATGTTTACAATTGCATGACAATCACAGAAAAAAATGTCAACTTCACAATCATAAACATAGCTTCTTTTAGTAAATTTTAATTCACAGGTAGCACACGTGTAGAAGTGTAAATTCAGATTCATACAATATTATATTAAACCTATTACAATTTACTAACCCTAAATAAAACACGTTCAAAAATATATTACTTCGTAAATGTACCTTTAGAACTTCGTTTAGAGACTGTAGAAATTCATGATGCCCAGCCATTGGAAAGCCTAATTTGACATAATCTTCTTTTGAATAGCTGACAACTGCAGTCGCACTAAAAGTGATACTGTCGATTCCAGAACCAGAACCTCCACCACCTTCACACCAGTGTTCAATCCACTGCGGAGGATTCGGTAAACTTGCCAATAAATTTTGTAGCGCCGCAACAGTTAACAGACGAAGAATCAATTTCGGTGTACGGCTTACTGTTAGACTACTACCACCCTCCTCAACCTTTACAGAAATTATAGCAGCCAATGGAAGAGCTATAAAAGAACTTGTCAGTGCTAAAGGATCAGACCATAAGATACGATGAGTCGTCAGCTTGAGTAAGCCGCCTTCGAAAGCACTTCGATTAGGTCCATCGTATAAACGGACGCCAGTTTTTTGTAAAACTACTGTTTCTTCATATAGGCTATCTTGATTGGTCGATCCATAATTTTCAACATCGTCTGAGCACCAACGAAAACGGTCCATATATCACATAGATTACAGATATTGTACCTAGTTTTTAAAAAATGAGGTATTACGAGTTAGAAAAAATCACTAACATGAGATTAACAATTGGAAACCTGAAAGCACTGGACGGCCGTTTCGTCCTATTGTGGGACTCCTCAGCAGTGCGCACCCACGATCCCGCTCGCGGGATTCGAACTCAGGGCCTTCGGTCTCGCGCGCGAACGCTTAACCAACTAGACCACTGAGCCGGCATCCAATGGTGATAGTTTCTAACATCAACCAATCCACGAAATTGCGCGACCAACTTCCGTTGTACTGAGGTAGATACCTGTCTCTACCCGACAAGGATTAGCTCCACTGGTCACGGAGTCCCACAATAGGACGAAACGGCCGTCCAGTGCTTCCAGGTTTTCTATTGCGGTGGTCTAACATCAATCGGTTCATGATCTCAATCAATAATAATTATAATTGACTGAGTAGGACTTTATGAACTATTCTCAAGCGACTAATAAATAAGAGAACTTATGTACAGAATACCTTGGCAACATAAGATGTTTACAGTAAAATAACGTTATGAAAGGTTTCAGTAATCTTTGAACTAACGGGACAGCAAGCCAGATAGTATATACCTTAACATTATTTATAATCACTCCAATGTAAATAATGATAACTAAATAATAAGACCGTAAAAATAGATAACATGAAGTTATGGATAAAGATACCCGAATAATTTGTCACCATCGCTACAGATTCATAAAATGTAATGTTAAGTACTCCAAGTGAACTTTTAGACTGATGTGAAAGAATCGGTTCGATTTTCAAGGTAGATCAGCTACGCTTTCTGACGAATCAGTGCATTAATTTTTATCAAACTTCCAAACTTAATGCAACAAATTTAAGCCACACAATAAAAATCTAATCCTTCTAAGATTGATGTGATTAGTCGTCAAGTTAGGGCGAAAAGGCAACTTGAAACTGTGGACCAATATATAAACTACTGTATAAATTCAATACAAAGAAACCAACGGCTTTCTTAATAAGCATAAGATAGAAGCGGAGTGTTAGTGTAACTGTTGGATACAGAAAATTTTAGACGTCAGTAAGAGTTAACCTAGGAATTCTAGAGCATAAATGGAAAAGGGTTATTAACCATATTTCACATACGTGCGAAATCCGGTCGGCAAATAGCTATTACTGTTTGCGAAATTAAGAGGACGAAAAGCGAATGTCTGGCAATTTAACCGGGTTGGTAGATATGGAGGATCCATCTAGGGGAGTTGGAAAACCCTGATTCCAAACCAATGGTGCACATGCGCTCCAGTAACCTGACGAAACAAATGGCGTATGAATCTACTATTGGTCACCGGCTACCATGGGACTACAGTTCCTGATGTTGCTCCACTGCCTTGTGGATCAGATCTTTAGGTCGAAGGCCCCGGGTGTGGTCCCCTAAGCAAACCACCTGCTTCGGTTTGAGCACCTGGGTAGTATCATAGCCCATACACAAATCAAGTCATTTGTGTATTCGGTGCCACTTTGTACCAATATTTGTGTTCAAATAAAATAAATAAATGAAATCCACATGCTTTAAACGATGCACTCTGCCCTTAACACAACCACTTTTTGGATTATTAATTTGGATATATAATTGTAGAACCTGAATAGAATTTATCGAAAAGAATATTCTTCGTTCAAATATTAGTCTTATTATTGTGGTTACTTTTTAAAAAATATTTATAACTATAGATTACATTTCATTTTTTCCAAAAACAGATGAAGACAAGATATCCGTTTTTCAAGCAGGGTCGTGTTATGAAGTGCTTTACTAGTGGTTTCATACTTACAAATCCGAGCATTACTCTGAAATGTAATCAAATTGTGTAACGCATACAGAAACACACATACACATAAAAAAAAATCTACATTGAAAGTAGTACCAAATGATGAATAGGTATGCATACTGTATTTCACAGCAAAAGGAAGGACATTAATATAATGCATATATTATGCTAAAGATTGAAGAAAGGGGTAGGCATAACAATAGTAATAATGACGTAATCACTATACAAATTTCTGTACATTGGAAAGCATTGTATGTAAATAAATAACAAATAAGTAAATTCAACTGTATAAACATATAATTTGTTCCATTTCAGTTGTCAATACTTGAAGCATTTGTATTCATACCAAATGACTTGATGATATTTTCAATTTAACTACCAACTGCTAATGCTTCTCTGCTTCGCTCTCTGCGTGCAGGATCTAAAATAATGCACAGATTAAATGAATTTATATGTAGTGAATATGATAATTGAGATGGATGTTTATAGCTCAGGATGAGGATTGTTGAGTTTTCTGAGCTAGATGGTTTAGCTGTGAAAATAGAGACTCCTTTTGGATGTTGTGCTGGTGGTATTCCTCAGAAGAACAACCAAAGTTTTACAACTAAACCATCCGGCTCAGAGAACACTTTGCACACGAAAGTTCTGCATTATATATAAATGTAAAAATGAATGTAGAGTATAGCAAGTTACTCGCTGCTATGTTTACAAGCTGACAAAATATAATATCAATGTCTTAAACCATCAGGAGACAGATAAGTTTACTTTTGATGTAAATATTAAAACTGAGGTAAATTGGAATGCTGCTTTGGTCAAAAACAAAAATGAAGTGTATTGTTTACTGGATGTCCAAGACAACAAAGTGATACATGTCTGTGAACCAACTGACTGGAAGCCAGAAAATGGTAGTAGAGCAATGTGTCGTGGTAGTTAAAACTACTTCATTTTAAATCACAAGGTTACAGGCTAAAACCACACTGTTAACTTTCGCTTGTACAGCCGAGTAAAATAACTGTCATAGAAGAGTATGGAACAAGGCTGGATATACAAACACTTATAACAAACTTTAACCAACTAGTGATAAAATGTGTGAAAAACTAACGGGATACCAAACAAACCGTAAGATAGAGAAAAGTGAGGCCTGATAAAACAAAACAACAATGTCTTACATCACTCAGTGATCTATCAAAGTAAACAACTGTCCTATGAGAAGTTGGGCACCAGCCAAATAGTTGAATTATAGTCATCAGCCGTGATACTGGACGACTTAGTTTTGAATCCCATGAAAAGCACCGATTCTCTTAAAATCATAGATTTACTTAAATAACTAGTTCAAACTAACATCAAACCAAGGCTCAGAGCTCTTTACCATCTGCTACCAACCGTCAAATAAGAATAAGGAAGCATGATAATCATTTGTGACACTAGGCTACTTGATACAAAACAGCTAACAAATGATACGTTTTGCAAATAGAAAAAGACTCCAAGCTCGCTATTACAAGACGTCAAAACTATGGTACAACTCTATTTATATGGTAACAATTGTGATATTTAAAAGCAACAAAAATGGCAGACTAAAAGCGAAAGTAACCCTCAAATGCCGAGAGTGGGGAGAGTCCGCTCACCCTCTCGAAATGCTCACACATGGCCACGCGTATACAGCTACTGCTAGGGAAGTCCTACTCACTGCCTTTTCGTGGTGGGGGTGTTGTTTGCGAAATTAAGAGGACGAAAAGCGAATGTCTGGCAATTTAACCGGGTTGGTAGATATGGAGGATCCATCTAGGGGAGTTGGAAAACCCTGATTCCAAACCAATGGTGCACATGCGCTCCAGTAACCTGACGAAACAAATGGCGTATGAATCTACTATTGGTCACCGGCTACCATGGGACTACAGTTCCTGATGTTGCTCCACTGCCTTGTGGATCAGATCTTTAGGTCGAAGGCCCCGGGTGTGGTCCCCTAAGCAAACCACCTGCTTCGGTTTGAGCACCTGGGTAGTATCATAGCCCATACACAAATCAAGTCACTTGTGTATTCGGTGCCACTTTGTACCAATATTTATGTGTTTAAATAAACAATGACCAGTACGTAGTGTGACCTATTTCTAATTCCTCTAAAAACAAGTCTGACAGTAAAAATGACTAGAGCAGCTAAAGATTATAGGTGCAACAAAAAAGCATCCGTTAGAAAAGTAACTTTTAAAATTGCATCAAAAAATTAAATAAATACTTTGTTAGAAATAGGTAAGCTGAATACAAACTCAAAAAGGAGATGGTTAGAATACCAGAATAGTTTCATATACATCACAAACAAATACAACCTATAACATCTTCTAATGTTCAATATTCCTTGGACACAACATCATTCAACTGGTCCCAAATCAAAACAATAACTCTAAGCGAGCAAACATATTTTCCAAAAAGCGAACAATCGAAGTCAGTATATTAACAATATCCTACACAGGAATGTTCATCTACTAGCAATGGTCCGTTGAAAATGGATCTTTTCTCCAAAATACATTCATCAAAGCATTGTCCTGCTGACACAACTGCAATAAGAGTTGTGTACAACATAACAGGAATATATTATGTAATTATTTAGCAATCATTAGAAGTTAAGCTATATATTAAACTCTATTATCTTGAATGAATTTCCCAACACTACCACGATTACTCACGAACCCAGACGACTAAAGGTAATGAGTACAGCATTTGAAATGCATATAAATTCAGGTTCTGAACGTACGATTATTTTTTGCTATTCATCCATACAGTTATGAGAATTGCAAACTGACTATACCACATGATACATAATGGAGCTCACTCTTATGTATTATGAAAGACCTGAGTGAGAACAATAATCTCTACTTATTATACGGATGACATTATACTGACCAGTTTTGATCAATATTTAACCTTCTTTTCGAGCACAAAACACTACCCTTCCGTGTGTATCAGTATCAGTTTACAGTAACCAAACATAAATAACACGAGACATAGATATACTTCCTGTGAGTTACCTTTTGATTTTTTTTCAACAAACGGATCTATGGGATGATCAGGCACATGTGGGAGATCGATAACTTCAGGTTCTACGAGACGAGTTAATTCACACTCAATTTCGTGGTAATCGTTAGAGGACAGACCGCCAGAAACGACATCATCTAACTCCTAAAAAAAAAAATATGTTCTTTGAAGTAACTTCAAAATAGTGTCATTTCTCGATATGTTTACAATAAGTTGTTATTTTACTCGACTTTCAATAAATAGGTCACAGGTCCCAATTCGATTGTATCTACCACAGTTTGAGGCAGTCTGGTAGCATAATTAGGCCCCACACTAAAATATCGACTTAAAGTTGAGTACATAATCCTACATTCGGTAAATAAACCGCGCCACATTATAATATTTTTGACAGTTATAAGAAAACGGTTAAAACTAAACAGTTAAGTCATGCGCACTGAAAGAAGCAGTAGTACGATATTTCTTAATTAAATACATAATTCAAAGTGCGAATCATATTAAGACAGAAATTAAAAATAGTTGACATTTATAGATAATAACAATATATTTTCGTGATATTCCGATCAGTTGAAAATCGTATTTGATGTTTTGTAACTTAATGCAAACCACTTCAGAGTAAATAAATGACCGAAATGAAACACACAAGTTTAAATAGTACAAACAAAACAACGCAGAATGTTTTTAGTAGTCAAAATCATTTGTCTGAACGTGTAAATATCAAGTTATTTTGGTCAGGGTGATTCTGTATGACATCACTGTAGTAATTTTCGCGTAAGAAGTTGGATGTGGGAAATTTATACACATGTAATATAAAGTAGTGGAGTTAAAATGGAGTGTATGTGTGTAGACTGTGTGGAAAGTGAATAGGGTCAAATGCGGTTGTTGGGATAAACAGTCTAGGTTAAATGAATAGTCAGGCGTTCCATCCTATTGAGGGCAGAGGGATTTAACAGTATGAGGAACGTTTCGACTAGTCGTCTCTCTTCATAGTTGGAAAAACGTTTCTGAATCATTTTGATATTTTTAGTGTCAATTTGGTGATTGTTGGAATGGTATCCACTGTTATTGTCGATTTCACTTGTAGATTTTGCAATTCTACAGGATTACTAAGAGGTCTTTTTGAGAAACTTACGTGTTCTTTGGCACAAGTCGAGATCTCACGGGCAAGACTCTCCCATGTAGAACGTATTACGATCTACATAACTTTGTGTAGATGTAAACGGGATCTTATCTTTTATTTTAGGTAAAGCGTCTCTTAGCTTTCGACAAAGGAAGCTTTAATTTTGCAGGTTTCCAAGATCCGTTGTAATTATTCTGTCGTACGTTAGCAGTAAAGTAAAACTACTAACAATCCAAGATCCTTCAACAGAATTGTTACTCAGAATCGATATTAATTTCTTGAACCTCACATCGGGAATGTATACAGTAGACTACACACTTATTTATGACTAACATCCTGAATATCTAAACGTAACAATATAATCAATTCACACAACGGCCTGACATTGAGACAAAACAACCACACAACTGATTTTTGATTTATGCGAGCTTCTATCCCAACAGTTCATCGAAATTAATTTCACGGGTTATTACTAAAAATATTTATACTAACGCCCATAACTAACAACATTTGGGTTATTCGCTCAAATACAACACAGAATAGCTGGGAATGGATACTAAACCTGATAAAAGATACAATATGAACAATTTCTATGGAACAGCTTACACGTTGATATTCCACAGCATCCTGAGCTTCTGACATAATCCGTTCTGCATCATCTAACGACATTACCTTTTGGATATCCTGGAGAGCCTTGTTCCCACACTTTAACCCATCTAAAACCTCCACTTCTATTTGAGCGAATTCGATGTCATTGACAAGTTGTTCGATGTTTGACAGTTGAATACTGGTTTTATGAATGAGGTTTTCGAGATACTTCTTCTTTTTCAGCAGCAACAGAGCCCGCCTGGGAAAAAAATACGAATTAGGACTATCTGCAGAAATCCAAACCCCTCAGATATATAAGCAACATCAAGAATTAATAATAATGGCAACAATATTATTGACTCAGATACCTGTTCTAATGTCATCACAAGGGTCAAACGAAGAAACTCACTCCTTTTTACCTTGCCTAATAAGTTCCTTGGCAAGAACTTTTTCATTTTCCATCCGGTTATCTAGCTTATTGGTCAACTGATTGAGTTTGTCACGTTGCCTCTTCAACCTTAGAATAGCTTTGTCTTGTTCCGTAATTCTTGACCGATTTCTGCGTCTTGAAAAGATTGAGCCCATTTAGCTGACACCTTTCAAACCTTGACGAATTGGCACTTGATAAGCACTTTACTGTTGTATCCGGTGATTTGGTGGAGACACTGAAACAATTGGAAAATAAACAAGATTACAATGAAAAAATGACGAATGTTTACACTAAAACACGGGGAATACTTTCAATTTTAATACATGACGAACAAACCGGTAGGTACATTCTTAGTATTCGAAGAATGGCTTGTTAATTCAACATATGTAGATAAAGTACTACTTGGAAATAATTGGAAGATCTGCAAATAATCAACACAAAGCCTGAAACCAATACTCACTATCCCGCTCCCAAACTATAATGTCAGGAGATGAAATCGACATGAATAAAGAGGCGGTAGTAATGGCGTTGATTGTATTAAAAGACCGAGCGCAAATAATATGATTGGCAGGGAAATAAGGAAAGAAATGGATACACCCCACCAGCTAACTGAGAACAAATCATAGAAGCATTTGAGGGATTCAGACAGGTACTGGGCCACCAAGTTGATATGAAAGACGGACATTCTAGGCTTTTATCATATTAAAAAATATGTTTGTTGAAGTGAAAACGATAGTTCATAGAAAGACAAACAACTAAATACAAAAAAGGATTACGCAGGACATATAAATATCCGTACGATAAGGACGCATACTACCTACAAGCATGTATTATCATCTTGTATCCAATATGTATTACACATCTACAAGTAACTGATGTTCTTCAGTAGACGTCACTTCCCGTGCTTCAAATTAACTCAGTGGACCAAACCACAACCTAAGATGAAATTGATGGTGGAACATTTCAAATCGGCATCTTTGGAAAGCTTAATGTAAAGTAGGTAGAACGGAATACAGTGTGAGGGAATATGTTGGAAAAAAACAGCACAGACATAGTTAAACTATATTTGTTACTAGTGTCAATAACGAAACGTTGTTGCTCAGCACCCTGTCAACGTAAGGTTGATATGGGATACATGTAAACTGACCTCGTGATACCAAAGCCACCACAAAGAAGTGAACATGAGTTTCATCTCATATTGAGGGTATTATTAACTACTATTTGTTATACGATATTCTTATAGACAGTTTTGTTTAGAAATCCAAAGCTTGAACTCGGGAAGGACATTTTCAAGGCCTTAGCGACTTGGACAATATCCAAAACATGTCTTGTCAAAATCTGTCCAACTCAAGCAACTCTCCAGATTAGCATTAGTTACTGAGCAAACATGTCAACATTTAACTAGGCTAACAATCAAACGTGCATTCAAACTAGACCTCTGGGCAGTTGTATGCAAACAGCACGTTTTTATAGCTTAATAATGGAAACGAGTGTGTAGAATCAGTCCTTCGGAGAAAACCCAAACATTCTTACTTGAAATCGAAACACGACGTCTGAAACAAGTTAACGTAGTAGCGACACAATTCGATGCAGCCTCAATGTCTGACGTTCAATGTCCCTTAAGCAAACTTCCAAAAGTTGATTGATTTCTTTTCACTAGCTTCTTCACGGTTACTGCCCTCCGATTTGCCTAGACACTCGGTTGCATTATTTGTTAGCTTATTCGGTCGTTGATTGAGGTTAATGAGTGTGTTTATCCTAAGGCAGTGGAGCCGTTAGGATTATCAGCTACCATATTACAGCTCAGAAGGTTAATTTTATACGTAATTAAATTTCATGAAATTAGAATTCAAGATGTAGAGGCGCGTAGCAATAAGAAGTGGACGCGGGAAAACCAATCAGTTTATACACGCTCTTCACAAATTTATTGAATATAATCGATGAGCTGACGGTCGAAATGAGCAAATAAATAGTCTAAGCACGTAGTGTTAACAGAAAACTGTCTAGAGACAACAAACAGCAGGAGGCAGAAGGGTGTGAGGTGAGCAGAAATCGGCTGGTTATTGTTTGTTACCTAGTTGAACTGCCCACTTCATAGAGCCCCCTCCAAGAGATTCGTATCCCTTTTGTGGAGAGGAGGTGCGACATTATTGTAAATCTTCAGATATGGGTAAATTCTGACTGCGAATACTTCAAAAGACAACATAGGAATCAACATGCCCAGTCGTCTTCTAATAAAGCAGAGAGCGATGTGAGCTTTGGCTACATCGTCTTTGTGGTTGTAGAGGTAAATAAATCCCCAAAATAAATAGCTCTGTAAGTTTTCGACATTAGATGCTGACCATATGTTTTAGTGGACTCATCTAGCTGAAGGCGCTCGGTCAGGCATCCGCACCAGATCACGTGTGGTAACGCCGTGCTCAACATCAACCGCAATCGCTAGCCAGATTAGATCAGAGAATTCCGATATATTGGTCATCGCCAAATATACTCTTCCGATCTCCTCGACTCTGTCTTTTGATTTCTCTGGGCGGGAACGAAATATATTAGAAAATGTTACTGGTAGAAGCGTTGTCAAACACTGAATACCTGTGACATCATCATTGGTGAGCCCGACGTGATCTGGTACACCTAATTGCAACTGTGAGTCTGTTCCTTTTCGGGATTTTTATATATCATTGCCTTATTTTTTTATTTTTTTTTAACATTGTGATTTTTTTTCGTGTTTTTTCTTGGATATATATATATTTTTCCCCTCGTCCGTTATCGTACTTCATACTTCATCATGACTGAACAGACACCTAAAGTACTCAAGCTTAAGACTTTGTCCCCGCCTTCGTTTCAACTGATGCCTTTCTGGCCCGACAACATCGGAGCCTGGTTCTGCTACGCAGAAGCCGACTTCCACGAGCACGGCGTGATCGACATACGTGCACAATTCCTCGCAGTGGTCAAGGCACTACCGCGCGAATTCAACAGGTACGTAACACGTAGTATGTTTACTAGTGATGTTTCCGATCCTTACGAAATCTTAAAACGCTCGATTCTTAAACGAGGAGACCTAACCGATCGACAAAGGTTAGATCAACTCTTCAACAATATCGACCTGCAACACGGTTCTGCGACGGACATGTTGCAACGGATGAGAGAGGTAATAGGCCCAAGAACTTTCGACGAAGGTCTATTCAAACAACTCTTCTTATCAAAACTTCCCCAACAGGTGCAAGCAGTTCTGGTCTCGTTCCAGAACAACGCCTTAGACGAGCTAGCTGCATCTGCCGACCGCATTTTAGAAATTACGAAATCTACTACCGAGGTATTTTCAGTCAAAGAAAAACCTCAAACGACTCAGAATGATATAAACGACTTATGCCACACACTCACGCGTTATCTTAGTCTTCGTACCGACCGTAAGAGATCGCGCACCCCACGTAGAAGCATTTCTCGTAAGCGATCTGTCTCTAGACCACGAGAGACAGATAACCCCGACTGGTGCTGGTATAATAACCAGTATGGAAAGTTTTCCAGAAATTGCAGAAAGCCCTGCAATTTTCCCAACATGAAACCGACTGATTCGAAAAGCAATTCGGGAAACTTCCAAGCCGGCACGCGTTAACGGCAACCGTAGCCGGCGAACAAAGCCGTCTGTTATTCTTCACAGATGTGACAACGAGAGTTCGCTGCCTCGTCGATACTGGCGCAGAAGTTAGCGTTCTCCCAGCGAATCCCAACGATCGGCTTCAAGAATCGGCTCTAAACTTACATGCGGCAAACGGAAAACCTATCGCTACGTATGGCAAAAGGTACGTTTACCTTAACGTGGGTTTACGCAAACCCATCCACTGGATCTTCGTTGTTGCAGATGTTTCTATGCCAATCATTGGTATGGACCTTCTACAACACCACAATCTGATCATCGACACTCGCAAACGGAGGCTAGTAGACGGAAACACTAATTTATCCGTTTGCGTAACTTCTTTTACTGGTTGTAGAGTATCCTCAGTCACAGTTAAACATATGATAGACCCGAAACTACCGTGTGTAACCAGCAATGTTACACATCACATCACGACTACAGGACCACCTGTATTCACGAAAGCACGACAACTAGCTCCTGAATAGCTAAGGTTAACGAAAAACGAATTCGATCACATGATGGACTTGGGAATCATACGACCGTCAAGTAGCCCATATGCATCTCCGTTGCACATGGTCCCTAAAAAGGACAGCAACGATTGGCGTCCAACTGGTGACTATCGGCGATTGAATGCGAAACCATTCCCGATCGTTACCCGTTGCCTCACATTCACGATTTGACAGCTACCTTGAAAGGCACAACTGTCTTTTCGAAAATCGACTTGGTTAAAGCGTATAACCAAAACCCTATGGCTGCTGACGACATACCGAAAACGGCTATCATAACTCCCTTCGGACTCTATGAATTTTTGCGAATGCCTTTCGGTCTAAGGAATGCTGCTCAAACATTCCAAAGATTCATAGACGACGTTTTCCGAGGACTCAACTTCGTACATGCGTATGTTGACGACTGTCTAATCGCAAGTCCGGACAGAGAAACACATCTCAAGCATCTGGATCTTGTTTTCGAACGACTTCAAAAACATGGCATTACTGTAAACGTTCAGAAATGCCGATTCGGAACCGACTCGTTAGACTTCCTAGGACACACTATCGATGCTCAAGGTATCCGACCCCTTAGAACCAAAGTGGCGGCCATTCTGGATTACCCAGAACCGACCACCGTCAAGCAATTACGCACGTTTAACGGCCTCGTAAGTTTCTATAGACGTTTCATACCGAAATGCGCATTACTTATGAAACCCCTGACCGACCAACTTCGTGGAAATGCGAAATCCATTAATTTGGACGACACCGCACGAAAAGCATTCTCCACAGTTAAGGAACTGATCGCTAAAGCAACAATGCTCGCACATCAGGACACCCGAGCACCCATTAGCATCGCAGTAGACGCATCCGACTCAGCAATCGGAGGAGTCTTACAACAATGGGTTAACAACTCCTGGCAACCCTTGGCATTTTTCTCTAGAAGGTTGCTAGACACCGAATCGAGGTACAGCACATTCTTTAGGGAACTCCTCGCTATGTATTGTACTGTACGGCATTTCCAACACTACATCGAAGGTCGTGAATTCAATCCTTTCACGGACCATAAACCGTTCACTCTCGTTAAGCTCTCCTTCTGACAAGTACTCTCCCCGTGAGTCTCGACAACTGGACTAAATTTCGCAGTTTACTTCAGATATTCAACACATCTCTGGAGCAAACAATGTAGTTGCAGACGCCTTATCTCGCATAACTTCCTTGAACAGTTTCCAAGGCATCGACCTTCTTAAACTCGCCGAGCTTCAAAAAGAAGACACTGATCTTCAGCACGAGTTATCGTCCACAATACATAAACTACGCATCAAACAGATGGGAACAGGTAAGGAAACCTTACTGTGTGACACATCTACAGGTAGGGATCGCCCAATCGTGCCGAAACATTATCGACGCAATGTCTTCAACACATTGCACAAACTTTCTCATCCAGGTGTTCGTGCAACCATCAAGCTTATAGCAGAACTGTTTTGCTGGCCTGGCATGAATAAAGACGTGAGGGAGTGGGCACGCTCCTGTGTAAGCTGCCAAAAATCTAAGGTTATCAGACACAATAAATGTCCCTTAGGCTCGTTTAAAACTCCCGATGCTCGTTTCGACCATGTTCATTTGGATTTGGTAGGACCTTTACCAGATTCAAATGGATACTCTTATCTCTTAACCTGCGTTGACCGTTTCACTCGATGGCCAGAAGCAGTACCTATCAAGGACATCACTGCTGAAACAGTGGCCCGCACCTTCGTCGAACGATGGGTAGCAAACTTCGGTTGCCCTTCAACCATTACTACAAACCGCGGACGTCAGTTTGAATCTGATCTTTTCCGTCGTCTGACCACACTATTAGGAAGCACTCGCTTCCGAACGACCGCCTACCATCCACAAGCAAACGGGTTGGTAGAACGTTTTCACCTACAACTAAAAGCCTCACTATCAGCTGCAAACGTTTCACAGTGGACCGACGCTCTTCCACTCGTCTTACTAGGTATCCGCAATGCAGTGAAAGCTGACATTGGATACACTGCGTCTCAACTCGTTTATGGAACGACACTTCAACTTCCAGGAGAATTCGTGGATCCTTCGTCCTCTTCAATGAACATGGATCTAACCTCCTACACGAACAGGCTTACTAACGCAATGCGTTCAGTTAAACCTGCTTCCACTCGACCTCAATCAACCGATGTTTTCGTTCAACCTGACTTACGATATAGTACACACGTTTTCGTTCGTCGAGACTCGCATCGACGACCATTCGAATCAGCATACGAAGGACCCTTCAAAGTTCTTCAACGTGAATCTAAGTACTATATAGTCGATAAGAACGAAACAAACGATAGCATCAGCATCGATCGCCTCAAAGCAGCGTATTTAGAAGGAAATCCCATTCACGTCGACTTTCCTTCGGTACAATCGCACAACA